GTTGAAAGCAATTTAATTTCCTTGCAACCACTTGCTTTTAACTCATGCAAACTTTCCTCAACACTTTTTAAAAATCTATCCTGTTTCATTTTCTGTTTCTGTACTGTCTGCATCTAACGAGAACACAGAAGTTAAAATTCAGTGAGGGGAAAGAAGAAGGAAAAATAAAAAAAGAAACCTTGAAGCTAAATAACTTCTGACATGAAAGCTTTGGATTTTACTAGCCTTCCCAAGTTTCAGATATCATAAACCATACAGGTGCAACTATCTCATTGCTCAGCATCCATATGAACCTTGTTATGTTAAAAGTGAACACAAATCCAACTAATACTTCCAGGTTTATAATAAAACTTCATAAAGAAGGTCCATATTTTCCCCATATGCAGGCACAGCTGTGCAGAGGCACATCTGCTCAGGAAACTAACGTGGACCTTTGAATTTATAGTTTAAGATCCTTAAGCTTGATGGCAAATTATGGTAAAACTAGGAATATCAGTTCCTGTCTCCAACAGAAAATATAAATCCCTCTTTGATTGATATTGATTACAGGAAGGAAACAAAGCACTTTTATTTCCCCATGTCACAAGAAACTCCTTCATTGCCATAAACATCCGGTTGATAGGAATATCTTGGGAAGGTAAATGATACTGTATTTGTAAGCAAACCAAGAAAAGACCAAGTGCTGATTTGCCATAGAATTCATACATCCACGGAGCTTCAAACACACCACAGCGGGTTAGGAGGTTGTCAGAATCATAAACTAAAAAGATTGCATAATTTAAAGTCTGTCAAATGTGATTGCTATTTATTATTATCCTGCACCCTTTACTCAAAAGTCCAGCTCCATCAAAGTAAACAAATTCATTGATTTAACAATTCATGGCTTGATTTTAAAAGGGGGTGAGCCTGCAGGGGAATATCCAACATATGTTTGAAGTTAAGTACAAATCAACCCAGTGAAATTAGTGGTAGTGATCACATGCTTAAAATTAAGCATAAACTTCAACATTTTCCTTGTTCACGCTTGCCATAGCAAGTCCTGAGTGTGACAGGAACATCCGCGGGATGGATCCCAACTTTGCTTAGTGAAAAGGCTGGAGGAGGAGGAAATGAGTGAAAAGACTGATGTGGCCCCAAATGGCTACAGTGCAGCTACTCAGCCATTATTTTACATTAGACTCCGAAAGGTGAAGGAAAACCCACCCCTTCACAAGACAAGCATGGTTCAGCTCATCCACCTCTCAGGTCAACAAAGGGCCAAATTTTGTTACCTTCATCACCCTCAGCTTGGATTTCATTCACTGGTTTCAGCAGGGTGACCTCCCTTCTCACAAGCATAGCTAGGACCAGAAATGGACTCTTTAGGGCAATATAAATGATACCTCAAAAGAGATATAAAATGTTGTTTCTATAGCGACATCAGCCCAAATCACAAGGGAGCTCCTGACTAAACTCATTCAGCCTTTCTCTATAAAATTACAAAGCCAATAAGCATGTCCTCTCTAGATTTACAGCTTTATAGAGGCCAAACTTTTTCTTTAAATCATCCCTGCTGCTATGTAATTATCTTGCCCTGCTGTCTCCTTATCACATGGTTAGTATCACTAGTAAAGGTTTCCCCGTGGTGTTGTACATCCAGGACAAAAAGAAGGCAGTGTTACCACAGAAGAGGAGCAGAACTGCAGGCAAGGTGGGACATGGCATCAACAAGTGACATATAAACCAGGCACTAGATTGAAATGGATGTACTGAGTGCTTGAATTACACACAGGTGAAGTTCTCCACACTAAATTTAAATAGGCTTAAAATTAGAACTTCTACCACATAACCAGAGGACGGGGGGGCGGGGGGAGGGAAGTAAAGTTGCTAAGGAAAAAGCAAATGCATGAAAGACATTTCTAGCAAAAGGCAGCTCTTAACTCTGGGGAAACTCCAGTTTAACATTCCTAATCCAGCCCCCATTGAGTTTAGCGAAGGCTGCTTTGCCTTTCTTTAAACCTCGAGAGAACGTACACAAGTCTTGTAATTTGGCTGTATGGACCAGAGAGGAGCGAGGTTAGGTACAGCCAGAAACATGGGTAGCACTTCTCTGCTGCAGGGACTTGCTCTGAAGGAACCTGGGAGAGCATGGCTCCAAACCCTCGCTCACCGCTGGCAGGAGGACGTGGTACTGCAGATCTAACGTGATCTGCTGGTTATTTAAAATTGCTGCTTGGTAGGTCACTGAGCCACACTGAGTTTGAAAGCCAGGCTTAATGTTTGCACATCTTGAACTTCACAAAAAGCCCTACTTTACACCAAAGAGTTTGTTCTCAAGATAAAATGGGCTCAGCTGGACATCTTATCAGAGAGCTAGGTCACAGCAAACTTAACATGTAGCATAGAAAAAGTGGCAAATACTTTGCCTCAGTTTCTGAGCTTTCACAAGCTAATCCAAACCAGCCTTCCAAACATCTAGGACTTGATCACAGCTCAACTCCAGACACTTTATGCACATCTACAAGCACAACCAGGTTCATATGCTCCCCATCTTTCAGGGTCAGCCTCCAGCAAGACTTTCAAATACAAGCTCTCCCCCAACTTTTCCTCTACGGAGCTGTTCTCCAGTCCCTTACCTGGACAACGGGGTGGCCTCCGGTCGGTGCCTTGACGGCTCCTCGGCTTCCCTCGGTCTCGTAGTGTGCCCGGTGGTGGGGTTTCGGTTGCACCTCGATCCGCAGCTCGTAGGAGCCAGACTGGCTGGAGAGTGGCCACTCAAGGGGTGGGAGTGACTGGACAGGCAAACTGGGCAGAGAGAGACCACACCAGCTGAAACTTTAGCACTTTATTTCTCAAAGCCCCAATCCGTTCCTCCTCCAAGTACCCCACTGGGGCTGCTCCCACTGCAACGTTTAGGAGTCCGCTATTAATTTTCATGAGAGTATGCTGCCCTGCTCACATTTGATTACAAACTCTGCTGAAATTCAGGATGAACACAATAATTTCTGTGGGCCCGTATCCTCGCAGATGCAAGGCAATTCCCTATTCTTAAATAGGGATATTTTTAGCAGTTATATTTTTCAAAGGTCCCTCTCTTTTATCTAGCTTTGTTGTGCATCTTAAACTTTGATCACAGAACATATATTGTGATATATTAACCCCATTTACTATTACTTACCAGTTGTGTAAATTAATAATATTTACGATTTCCATAAATAAATGCATGCAAATGAAATGCTAAATATTCTTACCTGAAACTAGTTTTCCTGTTATCAAAATACACAAGCTTTTATAACATTAAATTAATACATTAAATTAATACACTGAAACCTACAACGGGAGCTTGCCCTGGATTTTAAACAACTCTTATTCTGTCAGTAGAAACTGCTGCCAGGACTCATCTAACAAGCCAAGGAAAGTCACAGCCCGTGGTCTTTCACTTGCAATTTATGTTTAGCAGGTCAGGAGCAGCACGGGATAACATCAGCGTGGGGACAACCTCGCTGCCGAGCGGGATGGCAGGGCTGATGCGGTGCCAGCGGTGACTGCAAGTGGAGTCACACATTTGGCAACCTCTGTCCTGGCAGATACGCTCCACTCAGGGTCCAGACCTGCGTGTGGCCAGGGACAGACAATGGAGTGAGTTGATGAGGACAGTGTCAACGACTGAGATTTGGGTTAAACAACAGTTAACAAATTAACAAACAATAAGTCACTTGGGGTTGACTGAATGCTCAGTCTGACTTGGAGCAGCATGCTCTAATTTGAATCAGGAAATATTTATTTTCATTCTTCATGGAAATTTGTGAGATATTCTCCGAATTTAGAAGAGCAATCAAACCACTTTCTTTAAAAGCAGCAGGATGGCACAAGAGTGTGTAACCTTTGTCAAAAGCTGTCTGCAATCTGCTTTTTAGAAAATAATTTGGAAATTTGAATTTGTCATGCTGTGCTACCAATGAACCACTTTGATGACATTTCTTCCAAACCCAGACTTTTTCATCTCTTGGAATCACAATGGATTGGGCTCCCACTGACCAGTGCTGTCCCTGAGCACTTAGCTCTGGCCTGCAGCAGGATCCACCCAAGGAAATATTCCCTAGGTATCACTATGCATGACAGAGTACATCACGCCATAAGAAAACACACAACCACAAGAAACACCACATACCTGCAGATAGGTATTGCAGGCACCAGTTGTTTTGTCCAGGATGGAGGTACCAACAAAATTGATTCTGGGGCTGAGTTTCTCCTGTCCTCCTGCTCACAAGGCCCATGGAAGTCAACAGTCTGAAAGACGTGACATGGAATGCTGTTTTTGTGGGAAGGCATTGATGAAGGATCAGGGCTGGTTTTCCAAATTTTCGTGGGAACGCCACAGGAAGGATCCGTAGGAAGGCTGTTCATAGCATCCATGGAAAAAGAAGCGTCGGGCAACTGCGTGTAAGTAACAGAAGAGTTGTCTTCTCTCAACTGGATGCGAGGAGAGGATTGTGGAGAGGGGGTCCTTGACTGTCGTGGAGAAGTGGAAGGCAGCTGAGTACTGTAGAGTTCAGTGCAAGAGTACCTCCGTTTTGCACCGGGTGATGAAGACCTTGAGTTGGGACAGGGTGATGGTGAATGTCGTCCCAAGCAGGTTTCCTCCGTGATGCTTGTTCGTGGTGACATTATTGGAGAGGTTCTAGGAGAATAATGAGTATGGATGTTTTGAAACTGTGGACAAAGGTCATCACTAGGACCATTATTTGGTGAAACACATGGTGATGTGCAAGGAGATACATTTGTCTCTGAAATGAAACTTGCAGAGGAGCCGCTACTAGCTGGGCTCAAACACAGTGGTTCTCTGTAGCCCTCAAAGCCAGGGACAGGCAGGGTAACCCTTGGGCTAGTGGTAGCTGAGTTTGACTGATGTTCTACCAAAAGAACATCTGTGTCTCTGCTGCGGAAGGGACCCCCTGAATGAATCAGTTCATGATATGGAGTAATTTCAATCCTAGGGCTTGGAGCAGAGGCCCCTGCAGCGTTGGCAGGGTGTGTAGGTGTTGTCCCTATGCTATCTGGCTGTCCATATCTGCCCATGGGATCTGCAGAAAGGCTAGAAAAAGGCAGGGGGCATGGCTTGAGGCCACAGTCCAAGACATCATGAGCGTATGTAACTCCAGAGGGTGAGCTGTTGGTTTTATGTGGAGTCGGTTCTTCTGGAAAAAGAAGGGTCTCTTTAAGACTATAAATATTACAGAAGCTGAGCAATAATGGATTTTTTTTTAAATTGCATATTTATAAACTGGTTGTGATCTGATATTAGGTAAATATTTGTTAATTTCTTTTTAACTGCAATTAATGCTTGTGAAAAGTACTGGATTAACAGCCAGGGAACCTCAAGTGCTCAGAGCAGATGCAGCATGAACAGAAGCACTGCCAACACCTCCACACCACCTGGCCGGGCTCCCGCTGCCTGAGCCCTGAGCTAGAGGGATCACCTGGAAGGGTCAGCGACATGTCAGCCTCTCTGCCCATTTCAGTGCTGGACTTCCTACTCGTTTTGGCAAATAAACCCCTCGGTGCCAATTGGGGTGGTGTGACTTTGGTCAACTTTTGTCAACTAGGAGCTGGACTGAGACCACCACATCACAAAATCACTTCCAAATAGGTCTACATAAAACCAAAAGGTTGAGGAACAGCTTTTGGTGAAGGGAGAAGGACCTCCCTTACACAGCAAAGTCCAGCCAGAAAAGGCTTCATGAAACCAAAGCTAAGCTCATGCTCTTCAATTAAAAAGTCAGTTCTGTGTGATGATTTGTTTGGCTCCACATCACATCAACAAGTTTTGGTACCAGGTTTCACATGAGAAAGCACCAGATGATCAGAAAACACATTCACAAATATTTGTTAGAAAAGAGAGAGACAGAAAGGATCCAGCCCCACGGTTACAGGCAATCACTTTCCAGTTTCAGCTCAAGGATCGTTTTGGCCAGAGAACGATTACAAAACACACAACAACAGGTAAGTGTTCAGTGCAACTCTCTCTCCTGGTGCAAAATAGCCTCATTTTTTAGAGATTCGCAGGCTTGCAAACTGTCCCCAGGTTGCAGAGTACAGGGATGCTTCTAGGCAACACAGAATTCCCACCAGCATCGCTGAGCCCAGTTCTGATCTCATCCCACCATCCCATCAGGTGCTTAATGCCAGCGGCATCTGAGAGAGCAGAGTCAGGACAGGTATTCCAGGACAGACCCCTTGATGTACATCAGCTCTGGTAGCTGAATATATTTGTCATTACACAAAAGCATGGAAAATACTATCAGAATTTTTATGTTTTTAGAGATTTCGATGTATCCAGCAGGAAACATAAGAAACAGCTTCAGTTTGAGATTAATTTGCACTATGTGCTCACCCCTGGGCACAGATCAGTATGTGTCATGGGCAAAGAGGGTTTAATTTAAATATTTAAATAACTGTTTCAGCATTTTCTCTAACTCCTACACTACATGAGCCAGCATTTCCCATGAGCAAATAATATTGTACATAAAGCCAGGCAGGAGCTGACTGCACTTTCTGCAAAAGTAGCAAAAGATCCTTGTGAAACTTTTGCAGGCAGAGAGATTGTGATTTAATTTCAGGAGGTTTCTGTTTGTTTTCAGTTTTAAATGTTTCTAAGTGTGAAAGCAAAATCCTCCACTGAATTTTGACTACTACTTTTTGTGCTCAATGTTTTGCACAAGCTGGAGAAAACTCCACAAAAAGAAAAAAAAAAAAAAAGTAGCAGGAACTACTGAGCCTTCATCTTTAGTGGGAAGCCCCGACAGCCAACCAAACAAACCAACACACAGAATGTCTATGTGACAGGATGGGAGACGACTGGGAGAGTCCAGCTTGCAGATTTCTTAAGGTTCCCTCTGGCTTTTAATCTCAGCACACAGCTGTTTTGGGGATGGGGAAAACAGCAACGAGTAACTGAATTTTGAGCTGAACATATTTTTAGCATCGTTGATCTCAAGTATCAGAGCTTTGGCATTCACATGAATAGTGTGTCATTCAAAGCACCCAAACTCTGACGCATCAAGCCTAGATATTGATGCTACGATTCACTTTCAACAAAACTCATCACTCCCTCAGACTCAATAGAGCAACACACCTCTCCACAGTCACACAAAACATCCCTCCCACAGCTTTCGGAAGGATCACTCCCATTTAAATTGATGCAAGGGAGCAAAACCAGCTCCAAGGAGTGCAAGGCTTGATGCCAGGACTTGAGGCAGGATTCACACAGTGACCAGCAATCACAGAAAAGCTCTCCAGCCTCAAGAGCTTCACAGCAAGGAACAGGCGACCGTTTCAGTTCCCCATTCAACACACTTCCAGTGAGAGCTGCCCCCACCGCACACATGAAACCGCATTACCTGTGCCAGATACACAACAGGGAAACAATTACAACTCCTCACAGCACGTGGTGAGCAGCAAAGCTGGCATGTAGAGATTTGTGTTGAAGGATATGGGGAAAACAAACATGTCTTTGTTTTTGTATACTTTTTAAAAGTCTTCTGAATAATAAACACACACCACCACCCACACTTTCTGCCTATTAAAAACTGGGCTTTAGATAACCCAAGTTTTCTTTGCTTTTCTCTGAAATACTGTGTTTAAACAAGCACTTTCAGCTTTGGCATTCACCCTCCAAGAGGATCCATGTCCCAGATATTAATACCAATGTTTATGCACAACAACAAGCTGCAACACGCCCTTGCCTTCACACAGCCCTCTCGCCAAGCGCTGCTCTGCGCTGCGTGATGGGCCTGGCAAAGCGGGACTGCTCAGCCAGGGCTCGCAGGCAGCGAGAGAGGCAGTGCCCTTTGCCAAGCAGACAACACCCACAGCCTTCTGTAGAGCAAAAATATTTAGTTTCCCCCCACATGGCAAATTATCAATAAAGCAGGCGGCAGCACAGGAATGTGGGCAAGACGGCAGACTAGAAAAACCTCGGCTCCTTTGAAGAGTGCCCAGGAGACCGCACCAGGCAGCGATGCCCAGGGGCTGAGGTTGCGTCTCAGGCAGGGGAGAGGCTGCCAGCCCTGACTCATCACACGGTTTCATCAGGACTCAGGGGGTTTGGGAAGATCTCCTGACCCAGTCTCAGCCCTGCATAACTTCAGAGGTACAATGAAATCACTGTCCTGGGTGCTATTGCCCACGTCCATGATGTCACAGTCTGCCACCACAGAAATGCTGGTGATGCTACAACACAAAGCTCTGACTTCACTAGGGAGGGAAAAGGGGTGGCTGGGTGAAACAGCAAGTGCTGCTCTCCAGAAATAAATGGCTCTTCCATCAAAATCAGGATAAATTCTTCTTTTTGCTTCAGTAGGAGGGGAGTAGCTAGCCCGCTCCTGGCCAACTTGGCTAAGGCAGGCTGGGGTTTGGAATCCACTCAAGGAAGGGGCAGACAGAGCCAACATCCCAGCTTCCCCATGCAAGCACCACGGGAGTTTGGGTTTGTAAACAATGTCAAGCTCCTGCCTTTAAGAGGGCCTGTGAGGGACAGGGAGAGGTTGCTCCCCGGCAGCCTAGATGCTTTCTCTCTGCATTTGCAGAGACCAGGGGGAACGCGGAGCAGCCTGTGGCACGGGAATGGCTCCAGGCAGATGGCCCCAGCAGTACTCATGCTTCTCCCTGAGCTGCCAAGGTGAGTTTGGTTACGGTGGAAGGGGGTAAGGACAGCAAACCTGACACTGCTGGCCCTTTGCCACACTGGAGATGGCAGGAAGCAGCCCTGCCACCCACCAGCTGGGCTCCCCAAGGAGGTGAGAGGCCATCACACCCCCTTACGCGAGAATAATCACGTGAGGGATCAGCCTAGCAAAGGTGTTTTTCAAGAACTGAAGCAGCTTTGAAACCTTTGTGCAGATGCCCCAGAGGTACAGCTTTGCATCCACGGTTGTGCCACCTTCAAAGGTTCATCTGTCCCTGTATATTGCATCCCAGAGCACAGGCTGAGCTAACTCCTGCAAAGGACTGTCCTCTCCACTGCTTTCCTGATGGACATCTCGGCGAGCAGCACAGCAGCTTCAGCCCAGCTCCCTGACCCCCTTCTGCACGTGCAGCTGCAGTGCTTCCCCACCTCCTTCACTCAAGCATTTCCCAGCCTGAGGTTTCACTGCTGAATCATCCTCTGATTCAGTACCTAAAGATCCTTCTTGTTTGAAAGGGAGTTAAAAGAAAGCGAGCTTCACACCCCAACAACACTGGCATCTCCTCAGGTTCTCAGTCAGCTGTCCTGTCAGCAAACAGCACGCTCCCCACTGTCACCACAGCCTCCTGACTAGGGAAGCCCTACCTCCCAGCCCTCCAGGATCCACCCAAACTGCCTCCAACCTGCCAGCTCTTACTCCCCCCTTTTTCCCACAGCCTTTACCCAGTTACCAGTTCACAAGACCATCTCTTCTCTCCCCACAACGGGAAGGGAAGGAGGGCTTTGCGTGCTATCATGCTTTGAACATACAGCAAACCAGCTCCTATGGACCCACTCGGGAATGCCAAGGCAGCTCCAGTGAGCATGGGGTGGTGGCTGGGCAGCCTCCCCAGGTGGATACCTTCAGGACTGCCCTTAGTGCTGATTAGCTAGAAGAGTTAAAGCACAGGTGAAAAAGATTAAGGGATTTCAGTTTTAAAGGACTTAACCTTTCATTTACAAGAACTCCTTTAAAACCCACATCGGGTCCTGCTGGGCTTCAGAGATTTCCCAAGCTGGACAGGACATACATCAGCACGTGTGTGCACACGTGGCTTTGCAAGGGTCCACCCGCTGCTGTTTTTTAAACAAGGCAGTAACTTCAAAGCCATTCAGTCAGCCAAATGTGACCTTGCCAATTAGCATGAAATTAGGGAATAACAGATCACCCCAGCAACTGTGTTCCATGATGGGTTTATACAAATCATCACCTAGGAAAAGTGAAAGATAGCCACGTGCAGGACTAGGGAGGGCAGGGGGAGAAGTTTGGTTTTGACCTCACATGCGTTTGCTGCAGTGCTGCTCCTTGGATTTAAATGGAGTTCCTTATTTGCATAAGTAAAAGAGTCCAATTTTTTTTAATGAACTTGCTTATTGTCATTTGAAGGAGCCAGCCTAGAGCTTTTTTGCACCTTTCAAAAGCCAAGTC